ACAACACTCTAGACAAACACCTTTTAGGCACAAAGGTTTCACACACACACACACACACACGCACATCACAAAAAGCATCAACCCTAACACCAAAAAGCATCAAACACGGCTGGCGCCTTCATAGCTTTGCACACCGCGCCTGACAGAAGAGGCCTCATGCGGCTGGCAGAATGCTTCTTTGACTTGCTTACAGAGTTCTTCAGTTAATACTCCTGCTTACTTACTTACCTACCTACTTACTTGCTTACTTCCTTAGTTACTGGTCTGGTGACTATTCAGAAGAGAAGGAGTCGCAAAGGAATTTGAAACTCGGATGTTGTTTAGGGTTTAGCGCTTGGTGCTTAGTCTCAGTTATCAGGGAATGAAGGAGTGTTGTATCATGATTGTGAGAGGGCAGTATAGAGACAACAATAGGGATCCAGCCCTCCATCCCCTACTAACCAGGAGGAAGATGAGGATCATGAACGATAACCAAATAAGCTTGAAAATCATCCAGATTTCTACAGTAGACACCTGTTGACAAAGACATGAGTCTTCTTTGTAGGGCGCCTTTGGGGCTCCATATGTGCGGGTCCTAGGCGGGTATACCACAGTCGACGATTTCAAGGGGATGATGAGGGGTAGCATTCCTAATTTGTCAGGCTTCCACATTGGAGTTTGGCTAGAGGGTCTAGAGCAGTTCTCGAAGATTTGCGGGGCTCTGAAATCCTGACGCGGTTCAGAGTACGTCAGAAAGTGTGAACGCCAAAGGATTCTTGGCTGGCAACTTGAGATAACCATTGGTGCCCGTCATTGTCTAAGAGCGGGATCTATCTATCCGCTTGAAAGAACAGGTTGCAGAGGACATTAGTAGCCTTGAAGCTGCGTACCATGAGAATCAGAAATGGTATTCCTCCCCCAATAACGGATGTTGATAGTTCGCACCAAGGCTTTTTGTGCACAATCGTTGCAGTCAGACCATGTGTGCCTTTGACCAGTTTACTTGTAAGTCCAGTCAAAAGGACCTAAACCGGATTTGACAACTGAGCCCCATGCAACTGATGTCAAGGGAGTCCAAAATAAGGGTGGACGTTGTTTGGCTACAGAGGGGATGGGTGCAGTAGAGTTCCTAGTACAACCGTTGTTCAGCAGAGCGGGACAACACCAGGCCCTGAAAATGCTTCCTGTTTGTGTCCAGGACATGAACGCGAAATAATGACGAAGCGCACACTGCGCTCTGCATTGTTTGAACCGCGACGCGAATGGGGCTGTCAACTCTGGAAAGCTTTGTAACGTCCGAGGTCCCCGCACAGGTTCCAAGCTGCGAGGGTCGGCAGCAAGCGTCGCGGCAGGCAGCATGCAAACAGAACGTATAATAAAACCTATAAGCATGAAACCGATAAAATAGCAGGATGACAGCAGGATGACGCACTGCTTATCATATGTAGGGATGCTATTTAGCTGCATTCTTGCGGATCCGTGCTGCCAGATGCAAGTCATATAGGGTTCTACAGGTGGCGGGCGTAGACTTGAGGATGTTCGTGATATGTGGAAGGTTCGAGAAGATTCGGTATGGAACTAGGGCTAAGAAGGGTGCCTAAGTCTGAGGCCACGATTCTAGAGCAAAGAGGGAATATCACCAACTGTCGGGGGACTACTGCTACAAGTTGCAAAATATGCAGCCTGCTACAGTACCAGCTTGAATAACATGAGCGACAGACAGGTGAGTCTGCAAGCCTTCTGTCATAGAAGCTGCGCTCACAGGAAATTACATTACTTGCTCTCAATAATAATCTTCTGGAAAGGCAGCCAGTACTTTGAAGCACAACAACTGTTGTAGCCGAAATTCGGAAACCATACAAGACAGCTTGCCTCGTATGAAAGAGCTTGCCATGGGGGGCATTCTCCCTGAGGGTAGGCGTCTAGGCAGCAGCAATATCTTTCCAAGTGATACCGATGGCGCCATTTCGGTCCTGAGATGAGGTCAAGGTTTAGGGTTTAGGCGATTATCATTGCATTCTCCACTATCTCCATCGCACGATCCAAACAAGGCTTGATCAAGGGATATACAAGGTTCATGTAGGCTTTGTAGGAGGAGTGGCGGGGGGGTCAGGCCCGGGGAGTAAAGCCCTAAACCAACAAAGAAAACTAAGAGAATGCCAATCCCTGTATTCAATCGAGGTGGCATCAGCTCAGATCCGGCAGTCGCCGTTCATCGGGAGCGACGTGGCGACGGGGCACAGGAAGGTCCTGCTTTTTCTGGACAGCTTGGGTTTTAAGGGCTTAGGCTCCGGGATGGCTTTTCTCTGCGTTTAGGATTTAGAAGTTTGAAGGTTTTAGGCTTGAGCGCTTTGGGATTTGGGAATCTTCGTGGCTATGGATGGGTGCCAAGGTCTTGGGGTCTTGGATGGGGTCTTGGTTGGAGTCTGGAATGATGGCATGGACATCAGCTGTTCGGCAGGCACTGCAAGCGTGAAGAATTCGAAAGGGGCTTTGGGCAAAATTCTGCTAAAGCTCTTTAGGATTTAAAGGCAGAATGTTGGTAATTACTTGCTCTATTGTCTTTGCACAAGGGATATCTAGGAGAACGGCTCGAATGACATGAAGAGTGACTGCAACAGGAGGACAAACTGCTTGCAATATTCGCACCTTGTCAACAGGATGCTGCACGGCGACGAGAATCAGTGCATGAGTAAATGTAGCATTGCCTGCCAATTTCTAATGTTGGATTCCTACCATATGCCCCGATTACAGACTAACCCCAAACTTCGCCGAACCTTCAACCAGCCAAGAAGAGGCCCACAATTCTGAGACGCCCCTTCAGCCAGGGCTCCGTGACGCGCTCACAGACAACATGTGCTCCCGCCTGCAATAACTGCGGGGCGTTGCCCTGGAGTTTTGTAGAAAGGTGTAGCGATATTGTCAACCCGTATCTAGGGAAAGCTAGGGGCCAAAATGCATCAAGGAACCAAAGCCGTAGCTGAGAGCCGAGATGTCAGATCCTATGGGTATAGCTCAGGCCTCCGATGATATAGATCATGCTGCTACGCTGGATTCTGGTTCACCTATGGAGATTTTACGGGCAACTTTCCAGACATGCAGGACAACACTTTGTGAAACCAGGATTGGTGAATTAGGACCCTCAAGCACTCCAAAGCGGGATCTGAATCCAACAGGAAGCCTGATCAGGTCTTCGTGTTCCACGGTCATTACAGAACTTTACCTATGCCAGACTGAACAGTAGTTCATGTCAGGAGTTCACGCGCTAGTTCCTGCCAAACCTTATCATGAAGATCCTTATGAGATGTCTCGTTTAAAGACTTAAATTAAAATATCGTGAATCTAGAAGACCAGTCCTCGTTTTGAGTTCTGCCCAGGAACGTTTGATCTCAATTATTCTTATTGTAAACGCCTTCCGCATATGAATCCCTCAACATAGGTGCACATCGAGAGACCCAACATGGCGCACACCTTTGCTACATATCACCCAGCCCCTGGAGTGCACCTTCTCAGGAAATCTTCGTCAATCCTTTTGTCCTAAGCCCCCAGACATGATCCGCAAGGGTCACAGCCAAGATAGACAAAGTTTAGTTTGCTTCCCAATAGGGGATATAGGTACCCATTGGGGAATATTAGGATTCTCCCCTGTAAAGGAGAATCAAACGGGAAAGGCAATGGAAACTGGGGTTATACAACCCAATATATACCCTATTATAGTAGCCTCCGTTTTCTTTTCCATTATTCCTATATAGAATCTGGGGTTCTATGGACTTTCAGTCACTTCCAGGGCCCGTACCGGGCTTCACCAAGGAAACCAAAATCCCGCCTTATCAAGCCACGGAAAAGGCTTCCTTGAGGTTGCTATTTTCCAAGCCACTGAAATTCCGAAGCCTCTGCCCTGTTTGATTTGATGACCAAAGATCTTGTAGTTCCCTTCAAGGGAGACAATCCCCGGAAACCTGCTTCATCGTTTCTGGGCCTTCATCAGTTCATCGAAATCATCTGCGCCGCTAAGCACGCCGACCACGAGGCCGCAGCCAGCGTTTCCTTCTGCAAATCCATGGTCAGGCGGGTTGCTGCCCACAAATCGGACTATGCGCGATTAGGCGAACCTTTGCAGGCTTTAGATTCAACAACGTCTCGTGCAAAGCTTGCTTACTATAAGAATCGTACTGGGCCACTTAGCAGTCTCCATCTCAGTGGTTGGCAGGCTGATTGCTTTGGCTGCAGCTTCGCACATGTAGTTTGGTCAAAACCGTAGACCCTTAACGTCCATACATTAACCATTCCTGCATGCTAGAGTCCATGGACATGAGCAAGCGGCTGTACCAGCGAAACGGCCTTGAAAGCTGACATTATGGAATGGGTGCCCTTTACATGAGTATTTCCCAAGCTTCGGTTGCCAAATCTGACCCCAGCCGAACAGTCGTCTGCAAGGTGCAGCTCCCAGTTCCGCAACATTTGAACTGTAACCTATTGTGCCTCTAGATACATTTCTGGAAACACTACATTAGTTTGTTACCTGGGTGCGCAGTCTCGAGACAGGACTTGCCCCAAGCTGCACTACCTCGAGAAGCATACTTCCCAACTTCGTGTCACGCCAATAATGAACGCCTTCACTACTTGTCAAACCAAAGACCCTAAACCCGTAACAATAGCCTTAGTTAACAGCCAAACCTTATGACTAAAGCCAGGTGTCGACCCTCCTCAATGTCTCGAACAGAATCACCCACCTTGCAGACCCGCTTGACATTCATCACCTGGTGTTTGCTTACTGGTGGTCAGCAGGGAGTGACGGTGAGGGTTATAAGGACAATTGCCAGGGCTGAGATACGGAAAAAAGAAGGGATCGATCGCCCATGCCATCCTAAAGACCAGCAGTTTAATGTTCGATGTGCAGGGTTGTGGCTTGGGCTTCAGGGTGCAGGGCATCATGGATTTCAAGACTAGCATCACCTAGAGTTCGTTGCTCTTCCAAGCGTGCGAGTAGCCAAATGGCGTAAACTTAGACTCTGTTCACAAATTCCTGTGGGCCCAGTGCATCTTGTGTTGCATGCCTGCAGTCTTCGTGTAGTATCATCTTGTGGCTTTCTCACAACAGTGTGCTTGCCACTGTCAGCATGGAGGCTAACTGTAGCGTCAAAGTCCTGGAGACACTCGGACAAACTTGACGCCCTCCAGCTCATCTGGAGAGTGCGCCCAAATTGTTTTACACAATGGGGGAAACTTGCTCAGGGCGCGCTTTGCACTCAGTGTCCAAACATGATGAAGGTATTGCCACTGATTTGGGGCAATCACTCACATGCCTCAACCTTCTCCAGGTCTGTACAAGCTTAAGATCCCCTTGCACACCCCGAAGTATTACTATGTAGTAGTACCCCTCCCTACCCAAAAAAATGAGAAATACTGGAGATTGCAGCGCGATATGACGAAAAAACATGTCCAAGTCATCCTGGGTTAGGCGTTGATCCTAAAGCTCACTCCCATGGGAGGTTCTTCGTGACCCGACATTAAGTAGTCCTCTCAGAAGCTAGCAGAGGCCTAGTGTCTTGGGATCCGCCTGGATAAAATGATATGCAACCACGCAACAAAGAATACTCAAGACTCTCCAATCCTTGATATTCAATACCTCCTCAGGAAACCTGCCTTCTTGTCGGGAACGTGCAAGCGTTGCGGAGCGAGGTGTCTGGGGGAGGTGAATTCAGAGGCCTGAATAATCAGAATAGGGTTGTGGCGCGTTTCTATGATGATGAGGGCCATATGGGGATGGGGATAATGCTCCTACTACTTCTACCTTCAAGCCTTGGACATGCAACGCTTTCTGGCGAATTGATTTGGCGCCTTTGTCTGCTCCATGAGGTGATGGATCATGTAGGGATATGGTCGACCCTCAGCCACCTGCAGAAGCAGGGTGTAGGGTTCTGACTTGCATAGGAAATACAGGGGCTGCACGTGTTGGTGCTTCGGGGTTGAGGGCCTTGGTTGCGGTGAAGGGTTCAGACTTAGGGTAGTGGGCTTCGCAACCCATCTCAAAGTTGCAAGATAAATGAAGGAAGGAGAGGACGCGGGGAATCTGTCCTCGCTATCCGGTTTCCAAAGACAAAGCCTCCAGGCGAAAGTCTTCAGCCTGTGACGTCAAGCCAAGGTAAGGCCAACAACCTACAGCTGGTACTGTATAGCTTGCATCCTACCTGAGGCTCCTTTGTAGCTCCTTTGGGACTTCCCATGTTAACCATCAATTTGAGCTGAGCATCAAGTGAGATCATTGTAACCTAAGCCTAAAGCCTAAATACTAGACCCCAAAACCTTGACCCTAAAATTAAAAACTAAACCTTAACATCCACATCCTAAACTGGATCGTGCCTTTACAATTTGCCCCCAGGCCTGGTAGGAGGATATGTAGGCGTCGGCGACCTTATCGAAGCCAAGCCGCTTGATGAGACCCTTCCTCACATGGCTCAAGAGTCTGCGGATTGGCGCTCATGAAGGCACTGCTTGAAATCCTACAGTCTCTAGATCTTTCCGTTGATATCCTACGTTTTCTGGATTTTATGCATCCAGCTACTTCAGAATACCGCAAAGTGAACCCAAGCCTGAGGCTTCGAGCAGCTTGCATCGTAGCCTTTAACATCTAAGGCTGCAGGCTTGGCAGTGCGGGCGTTGGGCTCTGCCAGCGTGATGTGTGGCTTGGCATGTATTCAAGCCTCTAGATAGGAAGAATCACATTGCACTTGCGGTCAGAAGGTTCAAGGCATTGGCCTTCTAGCAAACCCAGACCGCAGCATGGATGGTTCCACGGAAAACGACAGCAGGGACAGGAAAAGTGGAAAGAAGTAATCCTCCGTATGCACGCATGCAGACAAGCCTGCAACACAAGCACTCGGCATAAGGCGAATGCGTGGGACGCAGGATTGATCCAGGGACAGAAACCGACAGTAATCCAATGATCCATCCTACAGGATAACCGATAAGCATGAGGCGTTCCTGGGGCTGCGAGTACTATATGCAACGATTGTTTTCCAAAAAGTTGACAGTGGTCAATTCTGACGATGTTCCTTGAAACTCCCCCTCCAAAGATCATACTCCGCTGGTTCGGATGTTCTCACTTGGTTGTAGCAAACTTGCGGGTGAGCCAAACAGAATGTCTGCATAAACAACCCCAAGCTGGTTGAAATTATGGAAACTCCAACATACCCTGAACCCATTGTGATTTCTGCCGGAAGTCTGGATGTTTTCCGGATATCCAGTATCCTTGCGGCGAGTACTTGCAAGGTGCCACATACAAGGAGGGCCCAATGTATGGGGACCTAACAAACTAGCATAAGGCAATTGGGGTATGCCGTACTTACTTATACAGGGGCGTTATTGAGGGATGATGTCTCGAACTCGACGAGCTTCTACAGTACGCTCACGCTACCTCATCCCAGCATTAGCAGGTCCAGAAACCCGCATCAGAATTAGACATTCCACTTTCCTATTTCACAGAAAGCCCTTCAGGGCTTTCCCTACCACGCCGTTGTTCGTGGGACCCGCGTGATCTCCCCAACCCGAAGTGGGACCCCAAACTCAGTCCGTAAAGAATTCTGTCCGCACAAGAAATGTTACGGGCTAGAGCCTTACGCTTTGACTGCCCTGAATATTGCAGCGGGAAGGCAATCAAGTTATGCTGAGGAACCCAAGCCCCAAACCTCGTCAGTCATCCGTAAACAACTCTGTATCTTCCATACTCCGGGAATAACAAGGCTGGTCCCACATCTCATAATCAAATTCCACAGCCCGCGGCTTCCGTCATGAAAGAGGAACGCGTTAAGAGACTTTCTTGAAGGAAATCCCCGCAAGAAGACCAAGGTAGGCTAAGGGTGCGCTAACAGCATGAATCCCGAGCCCAGACTAACGAAGGACCTCTTCCCATTCCCATTACGGGTTTTGGTTAAGAGGGTTCCTTGGTTTCAGTTCTTTCGGGTTGCGTAGCTTGGGGCTTAGGAGGGATATAGCGATTGGGATTAGCCGGGCTTAGCGTTTAGCGGGAAGCAGTTTTTGTAGCATGCGTATGCATGGAGACCACAACTCCAAGGCTAAATGCCCTCATCATCTCTTCTACGGCTGTTACTTTGACTACTGCCATGATTCTTGTTGTGGTGACTAATTACCCGCTATTGCTGCTAGCACCAGCACTGCCAGTACCAGCATCATGCCGGCAATACATTGCTACTACAGAATAATCCGAGCAAGGCACAAAAGCGATCTTGATGCCCGCATCCTTCAGTTGCCTGTCAAAAGTGCTCGCGTATTGTGACACCACGTTTTTTTTCGCATGTCATGTGTAGTTGGTTCTCCGTTTCGGTAAGTTATTTGAAAATCCTTACTGGTAGTTACACCATGCGGCTGCGATCAGGGCATCTCTCGTAAACCTGAACCCAATGTAGGTGGTGTCCTTTGACCCGGAGGCCGAGGGATTGCTGGTCATTTTCATGGTATTCGAGGCTTCATCATTGAACAACTCTGCTTTGGGATGGCCGCATCTTGACTGGGATTGGTAGGCTAAAGCACGAAACCCTCGAACCATGTAAGGCCTTTTGCTTTTGCTCGTGCGAACTCCCGCTTTTACCGAGTTTACAAAGTAGCCGGGCTTGTTATGCCATCTGCCCCATCATGCGCCAAAACCGCCCGAAGTCAGCAAGCCAGACCCTTAGGTCCGCAATCATAGGCTCCAGCTCCCGTGTGTGAAGCAAATGCCAAGTTCCGGATCTGAGTGGAAACATTCAGCCAACCATTCCTGTCACGCATTCAGCGGCATTCGTATATTGCCAAGTCTCGGTATCTCTAGACTCAAAGGCATGTACGTAACAAATAGAATTTTTTGGGATCCTGATACTGCGCAAACCCTATGTGGCCAGGTAGATTGCAACCATGAAGCGCCATGATAAAGCCGCAAAGACACCGCACACCACTAAATACGGTCTGCGCGCCCTGCAACCCTAAAACCCTTAAACCCAAAAGTTGAAGCGCCTGCGCAGGAAACCTTAAAAACCCTTGGACCGTAGACCTTCCGGCTCACCCCAACCACTACAATCCTGATCTTCCAAAACCCTTGGAGCGTGGCCTGAAATAGCCCAGCAGCCCAATGTCAATGTGGTCAATGGCCTGAACTCGGGGCTGAGGGATTAACAGGTTAGTGTGGATTGAAAAGGGTCAAGGGCTGGAGAGTACAGGATCGGGGTTTGGGCTTGAGCAGACAGGAGTAGGCCTTTGGAATCTGAAAGCTGTACTGCACTTGAGGTATCTCAGGAACTTGACCATCAAAAATACAATGTGCAATGACGAATGATGATGCTCCCATAGTACAGTTGATCTCATGTAGGTGCACCAAACGTTGTTTAAGAATCAGATTACCTGGAGGGTCTACATGACGAACGTTATGGCAACCTGAGTTCCCGATTGTCTTGATTCCTAGTGGTGCAAAGTACCCTATGAAGCCTGAGTAGGGACCGCGGCCGCTATTCCTAAAGGGTCCGCAACGGCCCCCGTTTTTGAGGACCTCCTCCCGTTTGACACTTGCACTGGGCAATCGCACGCACCGCCCAGCGCAACCGAGGCGGCGGCAGAAGCTTCGTTGAAGTAAGCTTCGTCAATGGCATTCACGAACCTCAGGCTCTTCAAATGGCATCAAAAAAGTCTGGCGAAACCACATTACGAATACCTAGGCTTTTGGGTTTCTTAGTACAGTGGGTCCTGTTGGGCGGTCGCTGAACCCTAAGGCCCTAGAAAGTGGGCACAGCCAGGGGAGGGGGCAGGACAAATCCAACAACTCCGGCACGACAAATGTCCAACTATGCAGAAAAGCACCATTGACAACCCTCACAAAGCACAGCCAGAGTCAAACCGCAGGCAGGGTCTGAGGCTTGAAGGTGTGGAGGGGAATCCAGTTGTAGAGGTTGATTTTTAGGTTTAGGGTTTACAGGTTCAAGGGCCGTAAATTGAATTCGACATCCAAGCCTGATGGATCGCGGAATGTTGGATCTATGGGATGCTTGGCTAGGGACCATTCGCCTACGCGCGTAACGCGCTCGGCAATATCCGCTGGCGGTGTGCCAGCCTCAAGCATTTGGTTGTCAAGGTTGAAGCGTTTAGGCTTCAGGGTTTGGGGGGCTAGGATTGCTGGGCGAGGGTTTGGATGGTTGTGTTGGGGGGTTCTGGCGTTAGGCATTCAGAGGCTGAGTCGAACTATACAGTGGAGACTACTGCTCAGGGCGTCAGGAACTTGAGGATGAAAAGAAGGGGCACATAGGGATCATGCAAGATGCGCAGCAACTGAGTGATTTCATCATGGAGAACTTGGCTTCTGCAACCTTCTTGAGGCCGGCTTTGAGAAGAACTTTTTGCTGGGACTAACAAGGCCTTTCGAATCAGAGATCTTCCCGTGCTTGACAAAGGGGAGGGACTGAACTGCGCTGCAAGCTTGTCACAGATCATGTAAAACTGCACCTTGACAGGTGTGATGACTTGGAAGTAGATGCAATAAAAACGTGCTTATTCAGACTTCAGATCTTCGACTCGTTGGTTTTTGGGAGCCAACTGAAGGTTTTGGTATGGGGGAGCTGTCTCAAGGGTAGCATGCATGAGCAGCGCACCATATGAGATCTTTGCCAAGCCATACGGGGATGCAGATCACGGGGCTTGAAGGAGCGTGGTATTTACGAAGCTGTGGGCAGATTTTATGCCTTCAAACAATGAGATGCTGGTTACAAAGGCCCCTAGAAAGCCCATGCGTGCGACCCCAGATTTACACAAACACCCGTGACCCTGTTGACCCCAGCCTTCAGGGCGAAGTGCTCAATCACGGCCTCTTTCTTGGCCTGATTGAGGCTCAAAGTTTAGGATCTAGGCGAAGGCTTGCATTTTCAGAAATGCAGTGGGACCCAACAAGCTATCCTTGCACCCAATGTGCTATTTGACCCCAACCCCTCGCTTTTTCCTAAGCTCCTGTTACTTCATCCGCTTCAATGGTGCCCCGCTACCTGTTTCTGGCTCCCCTTCCCTTTGTAACTCTGTTGTTGATCGCCTGGGCTGCTCAGTAGATGCTGTCAAGCCAGCATCTTAATCACCCAGTATGCAGCACATCTGCCAGCCGAAGCCCTAATCCCCGCACTTGAAAACGTGAGCTTGATCCTTAAACTTTTGAGCCAAAACCCAAGACTACACTTGATTTCATGAAGCCATGCGAAGCCCTCCCAACTCTCGGCCAAGGCGCACCATGCCAAGGATGCCTCAATCTTCTCGGGAAAATACTACTTTATACCGTGGGGGTTACGGCGTTCAGGTTCGGGTTTCCGGATGAGGGTTTGCCGTGTAGGGGGGGGAGGGTGGTATTGTTTTGGTTGAGCTTCTGGTTTTGGGGGTGGCAATTCCAGGATCTTCTCAAGAGAGCAAACTTTGATTGTTTTGGGTGAGGTTGAGGTTTTGGCTTTGCAGCATACAGGGAGTGATTCAAGGTTTTGGCAGTGGCAGTGGAGTTTAGGGCATGGGACGGTGCAGGACCACGCAACCCCAAATCTTTCAATCCAGAATCCTGAGAAACTGGAGCAACGCTCTGGAAAACTTGGGAGATCCTGGGACACATGCGGTGCGAGAAAAATCTGCCGGGCTCTCCATATTCAAGATCTATCTGCTGAGCTGACATGCTGTTGAGCCTTTATGGGAGAAACCATTACTCCCGAGCCCTGAAAACTCTGAATACCCCGACGAGCCTAGCACCCGAATGAAAACCTGAACCCCTTTAACTGGCCCAGGCAGCATCTCCTCGTCCGACACTTGCAGGCCATCTTCCCCTCAGCTGAGAGGTGCTTGTAAGTTGCTTGGACATTACGAAGACCACTTACGAAGAGCTTGTTGTGTCTTCAACTGTGGGTGTCCAATGTCTCGCATGTTCTTAGGCAACTTTCTGGTACACATTGGGCTTTGCATTACACTGAAAGGTCAGAGGTTACTTACTGCACAGCTCTTGTATATCAAGCACCGTAGCGCAAATTACGGAAAGTATGATGTCATTTCGATGGCTTTGGAGACTGCTGTAATTACCAGGGTTGTCATCGTCTGTATGAGCGTTATCCAGCCTTGAAAGGCATCAGCCGAGTAGGAAATAAAACTCTTGTCTGAAGCATGGGGGTGCTCTACATAGGGCGTTCTTATGATCTGGGGCCCAACAAAAATGGAAGGAGAAGATAACGAGGTTCTGTCCCATCAGCAGTTCTGCAGGGCTGCTACACAGACCCCATCGGATTGCAGCCCCGAGATGATGGCCATGCCCGCGAACGTACACGCGTGAACGAGCGCTGCTCTGCCATGATTGAATTGGCCAGTTGCCAGGGAAGGGCAATGGATCATGAAGCAGAAGTCGAAACCACGAAGGACTGGAGGGATGCAGTCACACAGTGTCGCTTTGGAGTATCTGCTTATGTCGTGGACTTAGTCTGTATGGATCGCGTTGGTCACCTTTGGGGGTGGGGTCCGGGGTGAGGTCGAACGAAGAACATCAGGAGATCCCGATCTCGTCTGACATGTTGCCCGCCATAGGACCCACAAGTGCATTGACCCAGTGAATTTCTTCGTGAACCGCAGGACATGACTTCACGATACTGAGCACTTCCTCGACGACTTGTAAACATTTGCTGCATCTCCGACTACTGCCATTATCCAGGCAACTCCAAAAGCTTGTTCAATGGCATCTAATTCACCGAGCAGCGCATAGCCGACTGAAGCGTCTTGTAGACGATGCCACCTTCCTGCATATGGTTTTAGGGTTCGGGTTGAGGGCAAGGGGCAAGAAGCATAGATCTATGCAGCAGTTGTAGTCATGGTTATGCCTTTTTGAGGATACTGACAGATGTTTGCGGAGAGATAAGGTTCCTTGATAGGCGCAGGTTCTTTCTCCAGCTGGACTTCCTTTGCTGGGTCCAACTGTGGCGCGTCGAGTCAATCAGTTTGGACACAGGCTCGTCCATGGCACATGAACCGACTTGCACCCATGATGCTGACATGGCTTGATGAGCTTTCAAGTGTGTTGACCTTCGCACTGCATCTTGATGCCAGCACAACGTGACAGGATTAAGGGTTTGGGATGGGGTTCAGGTGTTAGCGTGACCATGGACCTGCCAGATGTTATGAGCTTGTCAGACTAGCTACCAAGGTCTAAGTGTAAGTAGAACCGTGGCAATTTTCGGGTTGCAAGGTTACAGCCAAGCTATGCTGGGAGCGCTTCCGTACCTAGATATGACCCTCATCAGCGAGTGGCTGACAGCTGGTCAGTGGGAAGGAGGCTCTGAACGGACAAGACAGTGTAGGGTTTACGTGTTCAAAGAGCATATGAATCAGATTGCAGAGGCGTAGGGCTGTATGAGAGAATCTTACCTTCAGGCACAGCCATGCAGAATGATGCAAGATGCGTGGATGTTCTCTCCTAGTGGCGACCGGCCCTATGGTTGCTCCGTGAAGCCCCCCTAGTCAACGCGTGCACCATTCCTAGAAATCTACAGACACATGTATAGGCTACCACTCGCTACTTCAACTTTGGACTGAACCTTTTGTCAGCACAGCATGCTTTGCGCGCAGAGGTTGAGGAATGAGCTCAGGGATCACGGGTTACGGTCGGACGTCGCACAAAATCCTGCTGCCGTAAAAGACAGGGCTGAATAAGTTCGAGGTTCATGACGTCCTGGCATCCTTGTCTGACTATGCCCTAAAAATCTCATTCTCGGAGTTTGGGATGGGAACTGTCCACGGGGAACGAAGAGTCATGTTAATGTCGCTCGATTGTCCACCTCTTCGGGCTTGCGACTCAGGGTAAGTAAGGGCTGTAAGCACATGTGATCCATTACTAGGAAACAGGCAGCCCATGCATAAAGTCCTGGACAGTTGTGCCAGCCATGTCGTAGACAATGAGGTCGATGTCATTCAGGAGCGTCCGTGTGGCCTGTGTTCGTTGCGGCCGCGATTATGCAGCACTAACACGGCTAACCCCACACAGTGAAGCATCTGAACCAGAAGCTACATCGGGATTGTAATCTAGAGCCCATCAAAACGCAACCGGGGTCTTCACAGCCCCAAGCTAGTCTTCTGTTTGTATAAGGCCTTCTAATGCCACCCAAGCAAAAGTAGGCCTTGCCAGGCCCCGAGCTCAGTAGCGGAGCAGGTTGGTGTTTCAGCAGGAACGTGAACGAAAACACGCTGAAAACATCAGCCCAAGCCATCTGAAGTTTCCCGAAGTAAGAGTCTTCGCGGGACCTGAAATGGAGAGTACAAGGCTTCAGGCACATGAGATATAGCCAAAAGGCCTCATTGGCCGATGACCCTGCAACGCCCATAAACCCGGAGCCCAAACGAAGACCTACACTAAACACTGAACCCAGACCGCTCAGCCCCCTAAACCCTAAGCTAGGCTCTACTATAAACCTCTATTCCGTTGTTGGGCCCTCAGTGCAAAACCTGCCTTTCGAAGCATTGTGGGGCTCAGCGTAATCGGCTGGTAGGGCACGGCCTCCACGCGGCGTGCACGAGATGGAGTTCAGGCGCAGGGGAGGGTTTGGGAGCTTGAGCTTGAGTTCGGAAATAGGGTGCAGGGGTCAGGTACAGGGTGTAGGGTTCGGGCTGAGGAGCTGTTTTGCAGAGCGGACGACTACAGAGCGGTGATACACTCCATACACCCTTGAAATCCCTCACTGGTTCAACCCGAAAAAATGTGAAAGCTTCCAATTGTGCCATCACCTATACCCAAATCCTCCCCTGCAACTCCCAGTAACACCCTTCCACAGCTCATGTTACCATGTGTGACATAACCCTAGCGAACCCTACATTATCACATGAGATCGTACAAGTCTTGCCCCTAAATGGACCCTGTGGTCATCCTGTAAAGCCCCCACCCGACATGACCGATGAACCCCAACGTTACTCTATGCTTCCTACACAACCGCACCAGATCACCAGCTTCTGAACAAACACTAAAATGGCAGAGTTTTGAAACTCCATTCCGAAAGGACTTCAGTAGGATAGGGTATGTTTATCATGTTCCTTAAATAGAAAACTACATGTCTACACTGTCTACACCCGCCACAATGCCTCAGCACGCCCAGAGCAGAAGAATGCAACTGACTTTGCATCAACTTCCAAGCCCCCAAACCCCCCAAACCTTGACCCACCCCCCCCAAAACCCAAAACTCTCAAAAAGGGGCAGAGGCAGACGAATCCGAAACCTCAAAAATTCTGCAAACGCAGCCCCCCTGAATTCGCCCTCAAAAGGCTTTTGCCCTGGAACCTGGCTCTGACCAATCTGCCGCACAGCACATTGGCCCAGAGCCTGTGGGAGCCTGGTTATTGAGATTAGGGCTTTGGGGATTTGGGGCTTGGGAATTGGAGCTTGAGGATTTGGGTGCAGGGATCAAAGGTACAGTGCAGGGCTCAACGGCTCAGAGTCGGGGGCCAAGTGCTTGATGAGGATTTAGCGCCACTTGAGGGTTTCGTCTTAGGACGACTTTACGTTCAAGTTGCAACTATAACGCTGGAAAAGGTTCCTTTCTTGGATGCCCGGATGAACATCTTCTTGAGTACATAATGGGGACTGAACCCCCCTCGTGGCCCTAAAGTTCAGGAGTTTGCGGATGCCGGGGTCGAAAAACCTGGCGGGATTCAAAAGTAGAATTCCAAGGGCCTCGAGGCTGGGCAAGTGGCTTTGCAACGTTGTTTTTAGCATTGACCTGTGCTTACTAGAGGAAAACATAGATCCCTGCAGCAAGGCTGAAGAGCTCCAGCATCGCCGAATTTTGGCTGTAGGGAAGATTTGCATGATTCCGGTTTACCGGGTTGTGGGGCCTCTGCGTGGGGGATCGCGCTAGGGCAAATTGCCAAACACCTTAGCACCACCGGATAGTACAGTTGATTAAAGTTTCGAGGCTCGCTTCACAGAGCTCCGAGAAGACTTGGACAAATTATCCCCATTGTAAGCAGTAGCGAGAGATGCCTTTCTGCAAGGGGCCTATGAGACCAGCACATACCCCACGGCTTGCTAGCGAGGCTTGGTCACCCCTGCAGAAACCATGCTGTTGACAGCGGCTGGGTGAACTTGCTGCTGGACACAGCAAACTGCCCTGAAACCAGACGGCAACAAGGGCTAATTACGCGTTTTTGGCTGGCAGATGTGGGTTGATGGTCTAACGTTTCCGGGGCAAACCCTCAAAAACCTCGACTGGATGCCAGCCTCCTTGTAGCCTGCTTGAAAATTGCTTCCTTGCCCTAATCCAGGGCTCAGCTTAGCAACTATCAGAAAAACCGACTCATGGTCGATCTACCCTGCCTCAGCACCCTCCGGGAGACTGCCCACATGGCGGCGTCCCAACCGCAATGAAGCAGGAGGCGTGTGGCTGTCAGATTTCCGGTTCCGTTCTATAAGAACCCGGAAGAATCCTTAATGCTTGCAGTTGGAAAGATTCCACGTTCACCATGCTGGGTGGCAGAAGAAGTCTCGAGACAGTTTTCGAGTGCGTAAGATCTGCCAGAACAATGGCCACCTTGAATGCTCTAACCTTGCCTTTGTGCATCTTCGAGCCAGAAAGCTGGCTGGCAACTCAGAATCACGCGCCGGACGGCTGCTGGCTGAAACCATGCTCACAGGAACATGTGTGGTCATAGCAGCTACATAGCACTTTCTTCACTTCTGCAGTTCTTGGATACGTGCGATGGTTTAGGAAGCCTGGCGTTGTCAGGGAAACCAGCTCTCGTTGAGGCATGCATCTTCATTTGACCACCACCGACGTAACAAATGATATTAAAATCAATGTTGGGGTTTGCTGGGTGTCCCAGACGGTCCACTAGTCTATTCAGCTTCTTGAACCCCAAAAAGTAGGACCCCTCAACTTCGACCCTAACCTACCTCAAAACTTTAAACGCCAAGGAGCCCCAAAGACTAAGACCGTAGGCCTTGTAAGAACCAAGAGCAAGGTGGGCATCGCACCATCGGAGGGCTCGAGACTGCAGCCGCAGGAGACTCCCCTCGAGCAAAGGGGTGGAAGCATGGACCCTCTATGACCCCCAGTCTGGGATCCCATATATTCCGTCTGACCAGCGCAGATACAAGCTCAACTATCCACGCGTGCTTAGTCCCCAGGAAAGAGGCGGGAACCGATTTTGAGGGTCCATGGTTAGGCAGAGGACTACCGGCTTTCAATATCAGAATGCTCTTCGGGAAACCTGGTGTCCTTACCTCTCCAGCTTCAGTGGGTCTGTGCAGGGCTTGGGGTTCAGGATTTGGGGTGTAGAGGTCACAAGACAATCGCCAAACGGGTTCAAGTTGACACCCTGGACTCGACGGAAGCCTCAGAAAGGGGAGCAATCCTTCAGGACAAGCTTCGGCGAGGCATGGGCACGGAGAAGTTTTACATGCGGCGCGGCGTCATGGTCTAGAGTGGTAAGTATGAGGCTCTAGTGGTTGCAGCCTGGTTATTGCCTGAGCACTTTCCTACTTCCAGGCTTCCAGGGGCGCGTGACTGGTAGTAACAAGTTCATCCGGAGTCCTCGCGGTCATGACCCCAACAACATTTCATTGTAGACCGCAGCTGACGGGAACGCGGCACCTTGGGATCAAAGTTTCCAATTTCATTGAGACCCTCGCTCAAATCCCAAACCCCAGACCCGTACCATTTCCTGAGCCCTACCTGGAGACACAAAAATGAAACGTAGCTACATACACACTGGAGCAGTCTTGCATTGCAGCTGAGGGACACCCATCGAAGCCGCCATTCCAACTGCAGTAGGGTTTTGGCAGGCAGTGTCGGGGTCTGCTTGGGGCCTTGTACGGATTACGAAGCTGAAGGCGATCTTGTTGGATACCATGCATAGGACAAACATGGTAATGTGGTACTTCTGGCAGTACCGTGCAATTCTTCTGCAAACTGCTCTAGGCTTAAGGACTTTGGAGAGTACGGCCTCCACGGGACTTTCAGGACGGTCCATGCATACTTCCTACTTCCTGATTGTCTCTATAGTATTCTTATAATCCTTCTGTGTCGCTGGGGTCCCTTGGGTATCCCTGTTTTTGAGCCACAGCCGTAATAGGACGAGGAACCCTTGAGCAAAGTCGGCGGCTCGGCTTTTGTAGCCAGGGGTAACCCTATGTGGCCCCTCCAAAGAGGTACATGGAAGTTGAATGCAATGCCCATGTAGTCCAAAATCTTTCGTACTATTCTCTATATTCCCTTGGTGCCTCTATCTCATCCCTAAATAACCTATAGCAGATAACCTCAAACCCAAAGTCGAAGCACCAGAACCCAAATGCTCAACCTTAGACCGCAAGCTCTCGACCTAGACTCCCTTGATCATGTAGCTTTACTAACTTAACAACCCGGAGTACACACAAACAGCATGCAACTGGCCCCTGACCTCGCATTGCCAAAGTCCGCGTGCACCTCGACTCTTTGGAAGACTTGCGAAGGTTCCAAATGTGCGATGAAGGGTCTAGTCTAGGGTTTCCTGAAAGTTCAAAGTACCTGTGTGGGAGTACATCCTCCATAGATACTTCAACCCCTAAATGCATATGGTTTCAGTACTTTCTTAGGTTGCGAGAGTTCGGAAAGATGACACCGGAAAGGTACCCCGAAAATGTCGGCGATTTCGAGGGTCCCGAAAATGGAGTCCAACTTTTCAGAATCTCCGATTTTGTGTCTTAGACTTTTTAGGTCAGATGGAATGTTGCACTGCATGGGTGCATCATGCTTTCCAATCCGCTTTGTATTGGGTTTGACCTATGCCTATGCCTGTTTTTTTGACTTTGCTTTGCGGTGCGAAGGTTGACGCCACTACTGTCCTTTAGCACTGGCAACTTGTTCGGAACCTTTTTTTAATGTGATTGGATGAAATCAAACAGATGTTTTTTGTCAGATTCTGTTATGGCTCCGTTTTGAGAGTCCCGACTACACTAATTTGAGGGAGGGTCCATGAAGGGCATCATCGTCATCATCGTCATCAAAGACAATCGTGAAAGCAACTAAGCTTCCAAAAATGTACTCCTCCTGCTCATGCTGCTGTTCCACCTCCTCGTCCTACTTCTGGCAACTACTCGGAAAAGAAGCGCTGGTCATGGCTTTATGCAACAACCATAACTGTAGACTAGGGCAACAATGATGATGATGACGACGTCATTCGTTGTGCTGCCCTCTGAATCCACTGTATAAGTATAGTATAATTGTGGTATCTCTACACCTCACAGAAGTCCCTGCTGCCCCCAAGCCCTAATCTCCTAAGCCCAATCTCGCCACTGAATACCACACCCTCTAGACTCAAAAGCCATAAACCCTCGACTCAAAGCTGCTAAGCCTGAAACGTTGCCCCGAAGGAAGTCCTAAGGAACTCAAAGCCAAGAGTAGAGCCGGGGAGGGGTCGCCAGCACCATCAGCTGGAAATTCACCTGGGGGCGTGTTTCAGGACCGCGGGTTGTTTCGGTCGAGGAAGGAAGACTAAATTGTTCTGAAAAGCGAAACCCCAAAGCAGAATAGAGCCTTACGCAATCTCGAGGACTCGAGGACGAAAGTATCCCTACTCAAATGTTCCTTGCCTGGGACGAGGCAGTCCAGAAGTCCCACATGCAAGCGCCTATTTTCTAATTTGGGGTTTGGTGTCTGGGGTTCAGGCTCTAGATTTCAGAGTTTATGGTTTCTGAAATGGGCTGATAGGGCCCTTGCGGGTACCAGCTAAAATATGACACCAGATACTTTGGGAAACAAGAGAGGACTCTGATTTGGGATCTGCCTACCTGCCTGCTCGGAATTGTCAAGCTGCAAGTGTTCTGGTGTTATCCCCATTTACCAAAAGTGGGTCTGGGAGCATTGTCAGTACTCCATCATTAGAAAATTGGGAGCATAGTGAGGCATCCCCTTCTCCAAAATGAAGACTTCCTATGCCCCCGACATCCTCGAAGCTAAGAGATCTTGCATAGGAGCACACTTCTATCCCCAAATGCCCCCAGACCCAAACCTACACCAAACCTGCATCTCCACCCCGAAGTACCAGACGCAGCAAATTGCTTTTCGAGAGCCTACAGTGCCTACAGCTAACTCAAAGTTAAAGGCAATGCATCCTTAGGTTGTTTGTGCGCGTGAAGGGTGAAAATAGTGGGAATGAATGGCCCTCAGGGGAACCGGGCAGCCTTTGACGAACTCGTCAGCCAAAAGGCCAAGACGAAGCTAGTAGAAGCCAGGCGGCTTTCACGAACTTAGACGAAGGGCCACAAAGCAATTGCGAACCGAGGCCAACAAATAAGTCTTCAGTTGAGACAAATCCAGGGTAAGAAAGCAATTTTGCACAAATCTTCAACGAAGCAGGACCCTTAGTCGAACAATGGGCATGGAGGGGTTTGACGAGCTTAGACGCAGGCCCCGCATCGTCACTCCATTTGCGCCCATCCCATGCGTTTGCAATTATCTGTATAGATATATATATATATGTGTGTGTATATATGTATATATATATATATCGGCTTCCCGTAGATTTTTGAACTTTTTGTGCATTACAAAGTTTTCTTAACCCTCCACGCCCCATGATTCAACACCAAAAGGTGGATCATAGGGTTAGTATATGTGTATATATATATATATGTACATGTGTGTGTGCTTATATATGTATATATGTATACTCACACATATGCATATATGCATACATCTGCAACATGTATTTGACGAGCACAGATCATTGGTATGGGTTTACAAGGACGCTTTCTAGGTTAAGCGACACCTCCTAATCTTGGTTTTTGAAAACTCTGAACCCCTCAACCCTCAATCGTGACCCTAGGAGCAGAAAGACATATATCCCTCAACAGTGAGATACAACGAACAACACATGCCCTGGATCTCATCATTGGAGCTCTACAAATACTCACTGGCTCACAGATGCGTATGTCTTCTGTCACTTCAGCGCTGCAATCGTAATCCCTGACATCTGAGGCCTTAGTCCGCAAGCCCGCAAACCCCGAACCCCAAGTCATACACACGCGACCATACACCCTAAAGCCTATAGGCCTTAACCTGTGATCGTGAGGGCAGGGCCTGGAAAGTCTGACTGATGGCGCTTGCCTCGGGAAGTTCTCAATCTGCAGCTAATGTCCAGCAGTACAATTCTAGCTTAAGGTTTGGGATTAGGGTTCAGGATATGGAGGGGAAAATATACTGGCTTTTACCCTTGAGGCTTTGGGGCCTCTTGTCCCAACTGTCAAATATTCTGTAGAGACATCAGGGGACCACCATCTCAATCCTGAGAATCCTTCCAGTTTTTCCCTGTGGATAAGCTACATATGACCCACGGTCCTAATTGAAGATCTCCGCATGGGGCCCATGTGG